AAAAAAAAAAAAAAAAAAAAAAAGTGGCAGAGTTTAGAATAAAACTTGGAGGAATACCACTAAGTACAAAACATCCTAACAGTCATGTTACTTAAAAGTAACCACAAAACTTTAAGTGACATGTTTGGGGAAGAAATGTACAAAGTATAAGAAGTGGCAAGGCCAGAGAGATGCCTCACACCTGTAATCCCAGCACTTTGGGAGGCTCAGGCAGGAGAATCAATCTTGAGTCCAAGACTTGGAGACCAGCCTGGGCAACATAGTGAGACCCCATCTCTATTTTAAAAGTGGCAGGCCAGGCACCTGCCTTGGCCTCCCGAAGCACCTGTAATCTCAGCATTTTGGGAGGCCAAGGCAGGTGGATCACAAGGTCAGGAGTTCAAGATCAGCCTGGCCAACATGGTGAAACCCTGTCTGTACTAAAAATACAAAAAAATTAGCTGGTCATGGTGGTGTGTGCCTGTAAATCCCAGCTACTCTGGAGCTGAGGCTGAAGAATTACTTGAACTGGGACCTGGGAGGCAGAGGCTGCAGTGAGCCAAGATCACGCCACTGCACTCCAACCTGGACTATGGAGTAAGACTCCAACTCAAAATAAATAAATAAATAAAAAGTGGCAAAACAAGGTCTGGCCAAAGAAAGGCCTTAATACTACTTCCAGAAACCTAAGTGATTAAATTTAAAAGATGAAACACAATGTAAAGTCTTTAGTATAACTGGCACTGTTGTAGTAGGTAGCTAGTCAGGTATGAGCAGGCCAGGAGATAGCTCCCCCCAAACACATACTAGGAGTGTTGTGCGACCATCAAATGAGATGGTCAGGTAGTTATAACTGTCTTGCTAAAGTAATAATTGCTCACAGCTGGCACCAGGGAAAAAATCAGTCTCCTAATGGAAAACACCTGAAACTGATGATCAGCAGCTTCCCAATAAGATCTCAGGAGTGCGAGTGGGGAGAAGTAATGCAGGGCTCCATTACTTCTTTATACTTGCCAATGTATAAAAACCCAAGTCAAAAGCTCAAGCCACACACTCGTCTTTCAAGTCACCCAGTTAGTCCTCTTCCAAGTGTGTACTTTCCTTCCTTGCATTCCTCCTTTAAAGCTTTTTAACAAACTTTCACTCTTGCTTTAAAACATGACTCAGTCTCTCCTGCCTTACGCCCCTTAGTCGAATTATTTCTTCTGAGGAGGCAAGAATTGAGGTTGCTGCAGACCTGTACGGATATAGATTTTCTGCTAGTAAAAGCACCTCAGCTTAGTGGAAAGTATAAATGGTAACAAGAGAATAGCTATAAGCTAACTCCGAACTAGTCAAGAAAGAATCAAAACATTGATTAGATCAGCCATGGAAGACATGAGACAAACCAAAAACTGATGCCACCCCAATCCAACCACTTTGATCTAGGCAGTGAGCAGAATATGGTCTTGATGAAATGAATGGCAGAACCCAATAAATGGCTTGATGAGGTGAGAGCCCTGTGGTGGACATGAATGTTAGGAGTGGCTTCCATTTACTTACTACATACATGCCAGCTTTACACACATTTCATTTCACTCTCACAATTGTCTTATGATGTATTATTTATGGATGAAAATACTAAAACTTAGAGATGTTAACTTGCCTAAAGTTAACAGTAAGGGGCACAGCTGTGATTCGAACACAGACCGGGACTCCACAACCACTGCCTTTAACTAATTCATTGTATTTTTTGTTTGTTTTTTAAAGATGGGGTTTCACCATGATGGCCAAATTGGTTTTGAACTCCTGACCTCAGGTGATCCACCCACCTCAGCCTCCCAAAGTGTTAGGATTACAGGCGTCAGTCACCTCGCCCAGCCCTATTCCAGGTCTTCTTAGAGCCTTTACTGTAAACCTAAAGATCACAGAAAATAGCAAATGGATGATTGGCTGGCCTTTCTAGACTATCTTTTTATCCTGTTCCTACTCTTCCTAACTGTATAAAATTGAAAAATTACTGGTAGAGCTCTTACCATTAGTATTGGTTTTAGGAATACCCAAATTTTCAGATTTGGGAATACTTGCATATACAAATAAGATATCTTGGGGATGAGACCCAGATTTAAACATGAAGTTCATTTACATTTCATATATACCTTCTGAAAGTAAATTACCTTCATAGCCTGAAGGTAATTTTACACAATATTTTAAATTAATTTGTCCTACAACTTAATTCCTTAAAACATTTTTTATTTTGTTATAAAATAACACTTCCAGGATACGGACTTGCTGTGGTAGGAGTACGTGTCAGGCTGGAACAAAATCTCCAGCCCTTTCTCCTCCCCAGAGGTCAATATTTTAAATTAATTTGTCCCACAACTTAATTCCTTAAAACATTTTTTAATTTTATTATAAAATAACACTTCTAGGATATGGACTTGCTGTGGTAGGCGTATGTATCAGACTGGAACAAAATCTCTGGCCCTTCTCTCCTTCCCGGAGGTCAAGAATAGCAGGTCAGTGAGAAGGTCAGTGAATGTTCCAGTCCTCTAAAAATATATGGCTGATTCCTCTAGCAACCAGTCCCCCCTCCCATTCTGAAGCTATCTAGAGGCCCCACCAAGATTCACCTCATTAGCATAAATTCAGGTATGGTTGAAAGGAGCTTGTTATGAACAACAAAATATTCCTTTCACTCCTTCACTCAGGAAACTGCAAGGTTTTTCAAAAGAACTATGCTATATATCAGGCTGTTCAAAAATGCCTGCATTTAAGGCTCAGCATTTAAAAATGAATCTTTATATGTAACAAAAATTAAACAATATATTTTCTGTATTAAAACTAAAACATTTTGGATAATCATAGTAAAGAATATGCTCTAAGAATGGGGATAAAAGCTGTTGGGCGCCCGTTGGTACCACCATTTCATAGAAGATCATAGTTGTGAACCAGCAGAAGGATGATGCAATCTCTGACATAATTAAAACCGGGTAAACCACAATAAGTGTGTTCCAGCAGTTTGTCAAGTTACGTGTCCAGGTCTATTACAGCTACTGAGCAAATGGGTTGGCATGAATAGTTATGTCCTTAATGTGTACATCATTAAGAGGTCGATACGTCTTCTCATTTACTGGCAACTTCTCCAACTCATCTAGAGTTTCCAGACCATCTATTACCCTGAAAGAGAAATAATGTAACATATGAATTCCTTACATTGAAAAATAATATCCATACCTATGAAAATTATAGTTGTCTTAAAAAAATAAGTCCTAGAGATCTCTGAATTCTCTAGCTGAATGTACAACAAAATATTGACTTGATTTACCATCATAAATATGGATCAAAATTCAGAAATAAAATTTATTTTTATGCTCTTAGTCAACAATACAAAGGGTAGGAATTTTCCACCAAAATTCCACTAAAATTATATTCTACCCCATTCATACAGTGACACAGAACAGCTACAAATGGGGCCAATATAACCAGTTAAAGGGAAAAAAAACTGTTTTTCTACACTTGCACACTTCCAACACCAAATGTGTAGGTTTTCCTAATTCTCCAATTCTCTGGGTGTCCGACAACTTATCTTTTCAAAATTTTATTATTATTATTATTATTATTTTTTTTTTTGAGACGGAGTTTCACTCATGTTACCCAGGCTGGAGTGCAATGGCGCAATCTCGGCTCACCGCAACCTCCGCCTCCTGGGTTCAGGCAATTCTCCTGCCTCAGCCTCCTGAGTCGCTGGGACTACAGGCACGCACCACCATGCCCAGCTAATTTTTTGTATTTTTAGTAGAGACAGGGTTTCACCATGTTGACCAGGATGGTCTCGATCTCTTGACCTCGTGATCCACCCGCCTCGGCCTCCCAAAGTGCTGGGATTACAGGCTTGAGCCACCGCGCCCGGCTTATTTTTTTTTTTAAGACAGGGTCTCACTGGGACTACAAGTGCATGCCACCACACCTGGCCGATAATTTAATTCTGAAACTAACTACAAAGAGTTAACAGAGACCAGTTAGTCCCACAAGACTGCCCCTACTACTTTGGATGCCAGTTGGAAGTCCTAGTCGTGATTCCGTACTATCTGAACAACCAGATATAATCTGGGATTTTTCATGCCCCCTAGTTCTGTTCAATAATTTTCTAAAGTGGCTCACAGAACTTAGGAAAGCATTTTATTATTATGGGCTATTATAAAGGTTACAACTCAGGAACAACCAAATGGAAAAGATGCATAGGGCAAAGTCTGAGAGAAGGGCATAGCACTTCCATGCTCTCTTGGGGTGTGTTACCCTCTCAGTATCTACATGTGTTCGTTCACCCACCTGGAAGCTCTCATAAAAACCCTTCAGGGTTTTTATGGAGAGCACATTAGGTAGGCATGATTAATTAAATCACTGGCCACTAGTGACTGGAACAAAATCTCCAGCCCTTCTCTCCTTCCCAGAGGTCAAGAATAGGAGGTCAGTGAATTTCCAGTCCTCTAAAAATACATGGCTGATTCCTCTAGCAACCAGTCTCGCCTCCCATTCTGAAGCTATCTAGAGGCCCCACCAAGAGTCACCTCATTAGCATAAACTCAGGTATGGTTGAATGGAGCTTGTTATGAACAACAAAATATTCCTTTCACTCCTGTCACTCAGGAAATTGCAAGGTTTTTCAAAAGAACTATGCTAGCCGGGCACAGTGGCTCACGCCTGTAATCCCAACACTTTGGGAGGTCGAGTCGAGGTGGGTGGATCACGAGCTCAAGAGATCAAGACCATCCTGGCCAACATGGTGAAACCTCGTCTCTGCTAAAAGTACTAAAAGTACAAAAAGCTGGGCGTGGTGGTGAGTGCCTGTTGTCCCAGCTACTCGGGAGGCTGAGGCAGGAGAATTGCTTCAAAGCGGAAAACAGAAGTTGCAGTGAGTTGGGATCGCACCACTAAAAAAAAACAAGGCAAAAAAGAAAAGCTCCTGGAAAAAAAAAAAAAAAAAAAGAACTATGCTAGACACTGGGTGATGGGATTTAGGATTGCTGGAGTTTTCTTGATTTTGCTCCTCTAAATATTCCAATTACTTTATGACTTATATACATAACAATATAGTATTATTAATGTATAACAAAATAATGTTTTAGAAAAAAAAAAAAAAGAACTATGCTAGAAACCAAGGATGAAGTCCAAATATGTATTTCTTATTACAACACACTAGTCATAAGGATTTCTTTGCTATAGGAAATACCTGGAGAAAGTAGTAGATGACACCGACAGCGCGGTAGCTCATGAGGTCAGGAGATCAAGATCATCCTGGCCAACATGGTGAAACCCCGTCTCTATTAAAATACAAAAAACTAGCTGGGGGTGGTGGCACACACCTGTAGTACCAGCTACTGAGGAGGCTAAGACAAGGGAATTGCTTGAATCCAGGAGGTGGAGGTTGCAGTGAGCCGAGACTGTATCACTGCACTCTAGCCTGATGACAGAGCAAGACTCCATCTCAAAACAAAACAAACAAACAAAAAAGTATGTAGATTACACGATTAGCAATATTGCCCTACAATGAGAGTCCTGAAGTAGGTGACCACTATACTTTCTACTTAATTGTTTAATTATGGTATTTCTTTCTTTCTTTTTTTTGAGATGGAGTCTCACTCCCATTGCCCAGGCTGCAGTAGAGTGGCACGATCTCAACTCACTGCAGCCTCTGCCTCCAGGTTCAAGAAATTCTGCTTCAGCCTCCCAAGCAGCTGGGACTACGAGCATATGCCATCATGCCCAGCTAATTTTTATATTTTTAGTAGAGAAGGGATTTCACCATGTTGGCCAGGCTGGTCTCGAACTCCTGACCTCAAAGCATCTGCCCACCTCAGCTCCCAAAGTGCTGGCGTTATTAGCCATGAGCCATCACGCCTTGCCTAATTTTAGTGTTTCTATTTTTTGTTTTTGGATAACAAGAAGTAATAAAATAAGAAAAGAGAAGACTGACAGTTAACTCAGCCTTCAGCAAGCCCACTTCATGTTACCACCAAGAAAAAATATATTGAGAGCTATTCTTTGAATACAAGCTTTGGAAATTTCAGTCTAAAACATTTGCTAAGAGTGGCTTTCTAGATTATACCTCCAAGTATAATTCAAATCAATTCCCAAGATTTATATAGGTTGAATAGCCCTTATTGGGACGAGAAGTATTTTGGATTTTGAATATTTTCACATTTGGAAATACCTACATAAACCTAATTATATATCTTAGGGATAGGACCCAAATTTATACACAAAATTCACTTATATTTCATATATATCTTATACACATAGGCAAAAAAAAATTTTTTATAATTTTTTTTTTTTTTTTTTTTTTTGAGATGGAGTTTCGCTCTTGTTACCCAGGCTGGAGTGCAATGGCGCGATCTCGGTTTACCGCAACCTCTGCCTCCTGGGTTCAGGTAATTCTCCTGCCTCAGCCTCCTGAGTAGCTGGGATTACAGGCACGCACCACCATGCCCAGCTAATTTTTGTATCTTTAGTAGAGACGGGGTTTCACCATCTTGTCCAGGATGGTCTCGATCTCTTGACCTCGTGATCCACCCGCCTTGGCCTCCCAAAGTGCTGGGATTACAGGCGTGAGCCACCGCGCCTGGCTTATACAATATTTTTTTTAAATTTGTGTATGCAACAGAGGTCTGACTGCATTTGGGATTTTTTTTCTTTTTTTTGAGGCAGAGTCTCGCTTTGTCAGGCTGGAGTGCAATGGTGCAATCTTGGCTCACTGCAACCTCTGCTTCCTGGGTTCAGGTGATTCTCCTGCCTCCCAAGTAGCTGCACCATGCCCGGCTAATTTTTTTTTATATTTTTAGTAGAGACAGGGGTTCACAATGTTGGCCAGGCTGGTCTTGAACTCCTGACCTCAAGTGATCCACCCCCTCGGCCTCCCAAAGTGCTGAGATTAAAGGTGTGAACCACCGCACTTGGCCATCTGACTGCATTTTGACTGCAGCCTGTTACATGAGGTCAGATGTGGAATTTTCTACTTGTGGTATCCTGTCAGTGCTCAGTAAGTTCCTAATTTTGAATTTTCAGATTAGGGATTCTCAAGCAGTGGTATGTGCTTTAAGAAATTAACAGATTTGAATTTTATTTTGCATTTTCACAAAAAGGGTACTTTAACCAAAACATTTTGATTTTACCCCTAAATGTAGACATTTAAGTCTTTAAATTATAAGTCTTAAAGGCTTTCCCATCTTCTGGGTCAATAAGAGAAACACATAATGTAGAAAACATAGGTCTCAGGTAAAAAGTTAAAAAAAACCCGGCAGGAAGAACTCAGGCAGTTTAAGTAGAGTCAAGTTTCTGGGACACGGACGCCTTGGAGAACTAGAGGAAAGCTACTGGACCATCTTCCCAGAAAAATGTGCGTGCATATGTATACAACACACAACTGTAAGGAATTAATTAACCTAGGGTTAATCTCTGTTCTAAACTCTATAGTTTTGTCACAAATCCAGTAAAATAGGTCCTGGTAATAACTGAACAATAATTTTGAATGATGGGTTAAAGGAGAAAATAAAAAGGAAACTGGGTTATTTACAAACATACAAAAAACGACTAGATGTTGTAATATTTCTTTTTTCCTTAATTATTATTATTGTGTAAATTAGACCATGTATATGGAATGAAAATGAAAAGATGTAGAGTCCTCAATTTTTTTTTTTTTTGAAATAGAGTCTTGCTGTGTCATCCTGGCTAGAGTCCAGTGGCACAATCAAACTCAGCAGCCTTGATCCCCTGAGCTCAAGCAATCCTCCAACTTCAGCCTCCCAGGTAGCTGAGACCATAGGCACGAGCCACCACACCTGTCTAATTTTTAAGACAGGGTTTCACTATGTTGCCTAGGCTGGGCGTCCTCTATTTTTAATTAACCTAACTTGGCATCCAAACTATTAAATAGAATGAACTCTAGAATTGTGCCTTGGTTTATTAAGCATGGTAATTGTTTGTTGAATAAACAAATTTACTTCGCACTGATTTACAAAAGCAACTCCCAGATAAAGTACTTTTAACAAATACCCTGGCAAAAAATGCTAAACACCTTCCTAGGAGCCATTCTTCTTACTTAGAGAAATCTAATTTTAGTAAGGGTGGCAATGTGTCTGGCTGACATACATTTTCTACCTTCCAGGAGTACCTTTTTACCCTGTAGGTAAAAAGTGGTCACATTACTAAGTTCTGGGTCCTCTGGGAAAGTTGTTTTTGCTGTTGTTGTTTGAGACACGGTCTCCTTCTGTCTGTTAAGCTGGAGTGCAGCAGTGTGATCTCAGCTCACGTTCAACCCCCCAGGTTCAAGCCATTTTCCTGCCTCAGTCTCCCAAGTAGTTGGGATTACAGGCATGTGCCACCACACCCAGCTAATTTTTCTATTTCTAGTAGAGCTGGAGTTTCACCATGTTGGCTGGGATGGTCTTGATCTCCTGACCTTGTGATCTGCCCTCCTTGGCCTCCCAGAGTGCTGGGATTACAGCTGCCTGAGACACCACGTCTGGCTTTATTTATTCATTTATTTATTTTGAGATAGGGTATCATTATTATTCTGTCGCCTGTATCATTATCATAATAAGTATCATTATCATACAGGCTGGAGTACAGTGGTGTGATCACAGCTCATGCAGCCTTGAACTTCTGGGATCAAGTGATTCTCTCACCTCAGCCTCCCAAGTAGCTAGGATTACAGGTGTGTGTCACCACACCTGGCTAATTAAAAAATTTTTTTTGTAGAGATGGGTTCTTGCTATGCTGTACAGGCTGGTCTGTCTTGAACTCCTGGCCTCAAGTGATCCTCCTATCTCAGCCTCCCAAAGCACTGGGATTACAGGCCTGGGAAAGTTCTGTTAATTAAAAAAGCTGGGCTGTGCGCAGTGGCTCATGCCTGTAATCCCAGCACTTTGGGAGGCCGAGGCAGGCAAATCACCTGAGGTTGGGAGTTCGAGACCAACCTGACCAACGTGGAGAAACCCTGTCTCAAAAAAGAGCTGAATCAGCTGGCAAATGCCTTTTGTCTTTCCTCCTCCTTACTGCCTGATACACAGAAGTTTTGACAAGAGCTGTGCTGCCAATATTATAACAGAAGTGCCCAGAACACTGGTAACATAATGGAACCACCACGCCAGTCCATCTTGTTTAAGCCACTATTTTTCAGATCTGTTAGTTGCTGTGAAATGCTATTATTAATGAAAATAGATCAGCCTGGGCAACAAAGTGAGACCCTGTCTCTACAAAAAAAGTCTTTTTTTTTAAATTAGTTGCCCATGATAGTACACATGGTTCCAGTTACTCAGGAGGTTGAGGTGGGAGGATCACTTGAGCCTGAGAGGTTGAGGCTGCAGTGAACTGTGATTGCACTACTGCACTCCAGCCTGGAAACAAAGCCCTGTGTCCCAAAA